CTGAAGGGTAATAAACCTTTCTTGGAATTCTGCATCGAATATCGAGCAAGCATCTTGTCGATATAAGTTGCTTGAGACAGAGCTAACGTTCTGTTCTTGCGATCCCTTAGAATTTGGATGCCAAGAACATACTGAGCTTCTTTCAAATCCTTCATTTGGAACTCAATCGCTAGACACTTCTTTATGTCAGTGAGATATCCTACATCATTCCCAATGARTAGGATATCATCCACGTACAACACTAAGAAGGCTACGGTGTTGTTGACGATCTTCTTATATACACAAGACTCATCAACGTTTTGGTCAAAACCATAAGATTTGATCGCAGTATCGAACCTTATGTTCCAATGTCGAGATGCTTGTTGAGTCCATATATGGACCGTTTAAGYCTGCAAACCTTTTGCTCTTGACCTTGTTCTATGAACCCTTCGGGTTGAGACATATAAATACTTTCTTCAAGATTGCCATTCAGAAAAGCAGTCTTGACGTCCATTTGTCATATCTCATAGTCATAATATGTGGCAATGGACAAAAGTATTCTAATAGACTTAAGCATAGCTACAGGGGAGAAGGTTTCTTCATAGTCCACCCCTTCCCTTTGTGTGTAGCCTTTTGCCACAAGTCTCGCTTTATAGGTCTGTACCTTTCCTTCGGCGTCTCATTTTCGCTTGTAGATCCATTTGCACCCTATAGGTTTTACCCCGTCAGGTTGATCTACAAGTTCTCAAACGGAATTGAAGTACATCGACTCCATTTYCAGGTCCATTGCTTTGACCCATTTGTCCTTGTCAGTATCTTCCATTGCCTTCTTATAGGTCAATGGATCCTCGACGCCGTCATCAGGTATGACAACTTGAGTTYCAGTTAAACCCACGTAGCGGTCAGGTTGTGACACAATCCTCCCACTACGTCGAGGCACCCTCAATACTTTAGGTGGATGCGACTGACGCAATGTGCTGGCTTCATCAACAACTCTTGTTGTAGTGCCAGTTTGATCAACAACTCTTGTTGACGTGTTTGTAGCCTCTTCGAAAATCTCGTTAATTACTACCTTACTCCGTGGTTTATGATCTCGAACATGGCCTTCTTCTAAGAAAGTAGCATTTGTCGATACAAACACTTTGTTTTCTTTATGATCGAAGAAGATACCACCTCTCGTCTCTTTAGGGTAACCTACGAATAGGCATACTTTTTAACGAGGTTCCAGTTTCTTCGGGTTAGTCATGAGCACGTGTGCCGGGCATCCCCAAATGCGAAAGTGACGTAAACTAGGTTTACGACCCTTCCACAGCTCAAAGGGTGTTTCAGAAACACTCTTTGATGGAACTATGTTCAAAATATAAACTGCAGTCTCCACTRCATAACCCCAAAACAAGTTAGGCAACTGAGCATAGCTCATCATTGATCGAAACATGTCCAATAGGGTTCTGTTTCTCCTTTCTGATACACCGTTTTGTTGAGGTGTACCAGGGGCTGAGAGTTGGGACGTGATTCCATGTTCCATCATGTAGTCCTGGAATCTCAAGTCCATATACTCTCCACCCCGATCTGATCGAAGTRTTTTAATGGTTTTACCTAATTGATTTTCAACTTCAGTCTTGTACTCCTTGAACTTTTCAAGGGCTTCAGACTTATGTTGCATTAGGTATAAATAACCATACCTTGAATAATCATCGATAAAAGAGATGAAGTATTCATACMCTCCTSGAGCTCTAACATTCATCGGACCACAAAGGTCTGAATGTATAAGTTCTAARGGCTCTTTGGCTCTATAACCTTTTCCAGTAAAAGGTCTTTTAGTCATTTTGCCTTCAAGACAAGACTCACATGGTGGTAAAGAATCGTCTTCTAACTCACTTAGAATGTCATTCTTAACCAACCTCCCAATCCTATTGAGATTAATGTGACCTAATCTTAAGTGCCAAAGATAGGTATCTTCCTTTTGAGAAACTTTTTGCCTTTTATTTCGAGTTCTAGCATTTTTAAACAACTCGGTATTTAAAACTGCTTTAGTTATGGTTGGTCTTAGCACATACAAGTTGTTTTCRAGCAAAGCAGAACAAATATTAACACCTTTTCTCGAAATGAACGCTTCATTCATATGAAAAGAAATTGAATACATATGTTCTAAAAAACTAGAAATTGAAATTAAGTTCCTTTTAATTTTAGGAACAACGTACACATTATCTAATAATATATACATATTCTTGTTTGTAAACAACTTGAGCTCCCCTACTGCCACAGTTGAGACGACCTCTCTCGTTCCGATCTTGAGAGTCATCTCTCCGGCGTCAAGCTGCCTCTAGGAACTAATTCCCTGAAATGAAGAACAAACGTGATTAGTGGTTCCTGAATCCAGTCTTCAGACGGAGTCATCATTCTCCACTAAACATGTTTCCAATACAAGTAAATCATATTTACCTTCGTTGGCTTTCTTCTTTTCGGCCAAGTACTTTGGGMAGTTGCGCTTCCAATGCCCGTCCATATTGCAGTGGAAACACTTTCCTTTCTCTGCAACCTTGACCTTGCCTTTCTGGGCAGCAACAGCTGAGTCAGGTTTAGACCCCTTACCAGCAGCCTTCTTTCTCTTAAAAGTCTTACTTCCAGAAGAAGAGGGCGCAGACCTGGTTCCAGAGGACGATTCTCTGTTGAATCTCTTTGAGGTGGCAACATTTGCCTCCCCTTCTTGTCTCTTACATTTCATAAGAGACTGATAGGTCTGCAGCTCGTTTAGGAGCGTGGTAAGAGTGTACTCCAGCTTATTCATAACCGAATTGSTGCGGAATGGCAAGAAACTCTTCGGAAGAGATTCCAGAATGAAGSTGACCTGACTCTGCTCGTCTATGACGGCCYCGTTCGACTCAGCCACGTTGAAGTGGACCATCAGGTTCAGAACGTGTTCTCGCACTGATGAACCCTCCTTCATGCGGGAGTTGTAAATGAACTTTAGAGCTTCATGTCGAGCCTGTGAGGACGGTTGTCCAAACATGCTCTGCAGCGAGTCCATGATCTCCTTAGCGGTGACCGTGTCCTCGTGCTTCTTGGCAAGCACATCAGATATGCTCGCCAAGATGTARACCTTGGCCTTGTCATTGGCCTTGATCCACCTGTCATAGGCGTTGCGTATCGCCACATTAGTGTTAGGCGCRGGAGCTTGAGGACAATCCTCTYGCAAGACGAACCTAAGATCATCTATCACGAGAATAGTRTTTAGGTTTGACTTCCATTGTTTGTAATTTTCGCCATTAAGTCTTTGCGCGGCTAAGAGTGCAATAATAGAAGTAGACATGCTGAAAGTAAAAACAAATCTATATTAGTTTCATGCATTAGCCTTTTAAACCCAATCAAAATTTTAGCAAAAGTAATTAAGCACCCTAACAAAATTKTTTTGCAACGACGCTTCAGTGATTTAGAGCAACAGCCACCGTAGGGCGGACAGGTACTCCTTCACTGAATTGAGACATTCTCRACTAAATTTTACACCAGAATAACTCTTATTCCTATAAATTTTAGTCATCGTTTATTTGGTCAGRAAATTGCTAACTAAATATTCTCCTGCCTTTCGTCTTTAAAGGGCCAAAGAAATTCAGAAAATTCTAGGGATGTTATCAGAACATATGGACAAGTTACCTAAATTAGCATCTCTGGGCGATAATACCAAGGTTGATATTAACTAGCTTAGAGAGATAGACTCAATTTTCGACCGGTTTAAGTTGTGGGTAGGGATGTTGAAGTTTCGAGCATAGTGAATCAGGTGATTGATGCTACAAATAGACATGTTACATCTATCTTACCCATAGTAGGTATAGGTAGATTAGGACAAACAACCTTGGCGAAGTTGGTCATTAATCACGAGAGGATAAAAGAACATTTTGATCAAACCATATGGGTGTGCGTGTCTCAACCTTTTAATGTCAAGAAGATTTTGGGAGCAATCTTAGAAACTCTGAAGGGTACTTCTAGTAGTTTGGACAATAAAGACGTCTTACTTCGTGAAGTTAAAAAAAAGATGCATGGAAAAACATATTTTCTTGTGCTGGATGATGTTTGGAATGAAGATCCTTCTTTGTTGGGTGAGTTGAAGAATTGTTTGATAAAGATCACTGAAAATTCAGGAAATAGTATCCTTGTGACTACCAAGAGTGCTGAAGTTGCAAAAATCATGAAAACACTTCCTAGTCATGATTTAGTTAAACTCTCTCACCATSAGTGTTGGTCCTTATTTCAAGAAAGTGCAAATGCAAATGGACTACCAATGACTCCAAGTTTGAAAGTTGTTCGAGAAGAGTTAGTCAAGACAATTGGTGGCATACCATTAGTTGCAAGAGTCCTGGGAGGGGCAGAACCATATTTAGGAAACACAGACAATTGGGTGACAAAGTTAAAAAGTTTAGTAAGTAATTCATTGCAAAACAAAAATATTGCTACATCCGCACTAAAATTAAGTGTAGATCGTCTACCAAAACATTCTTTAAAGCAATGTTTTGCCTATTGTTCAAAATTTCCCAAAGATTTTAAGTTTAAGAAAGAACAACTAATTCAAATGTGGATGACACAAGGATTTATTCATCTACCCGAAGAAGGAAGAAGTAACGAAACAATAGAAGATGAAGGAGATAGGCACTTCAAGATCTTGTTGCGTCGTTGCTTATTTCAAGATGTTGTTCAAGATGATAGAGGAAGAATTGTAAGTTGTAAGATGCATGATCTTATACATGATATTGCATGTGATGTTTCAAATGATCATAAATTGCAATATTCTAGCCATTCATTGGATGGGGAAGTTTGGACGGATGAGAATAAAAAAATTGCAAGCAAGTTACACACCATAATTCATTATCAAGATCAGATGATGCCTCCCGTAGTGGACAAGATGTGTCATATAATAGAGAAAGTGATTCATGATAAGATGATGAACTTTGTTTGTTTGCGTGTTTTGAAGATGAATTCTAGGTCAATTTCTGAGTTACCAGATTCTATTGGTGAGTTGAAGCACTTGAGATATCTAGACATTTSAGCTTGTTCAATAACAAAGCTTCCAAAATCTATTGTTTTGCTTTATAATTTGAAACAACTAAATATGGGAGGCTTAATGATTAAAGGTCTTCCGAATAATATAATAGATTTGGTTAATGTAAGACATTTGGAATTTCACCCCTCTTATTTTGTTTCCGAAAAAATGCCTCCACATTTTGGTAAGTTGACTCAGCTGCAAACGTTATCTTATTTTGTGGTAGGGTTTGAGAATGGTTGTAAAATTACAGAACTCGGACTTTTGAAAAACTTGAAAGGTAGTTTGAAGCTTTGTGGTYTAGAGAGAGTTGAAAGTAAAGAGGAAGCCAGGACTGCAAAATTGGTGGAAAATGAGAACTTAGAAGAGCTAGAACTTAAATAGACTTGGCATCTTTTAAGAAAAGATAATAAGGACAATCCGAACGATTTGGAAGTATTGGAAGGACTTCAACCACACAAAAATCTACAATCATTGAGAATCGAGTGCTCAGCAAGCAAATCTTTGCCTAACAACATTTTCGTTGAGAATCTGTCMGTAATAATTCTAGGGGGCTGTCTAAATTGTGAAAGGCTTCCAATGCTTGGGCAGTTAACAAACTTAAAGAGGCTTGATGTATATGACTTGCATAGTATTCGAAGTTTAGGAAATGAATTCTATGGAAATGATTGTAATCAAAGGACCTTATTCCCCAAGCTAAAGGCATTCTATGTCTCTGATATGGAGAACTTAGAGCAGTGGGAAGAAGTAACAGTTGCTTCAAATCTCACCACATTTCCTTGCCTTGAAAAGTTGAGCATTCGTACATGTCGCAGGTTAATGAACATTCCAGATGTTTTTGGTTCTCGTGACGAGAATGGGGTCGAGCACCTTCGTCTTCTGAATATTTCATATTGTGATGGAATGACCAAACTTCCAAACGGGCTACAATTTTGTCCTTCCATCGTACGTTTGGAAATAGAAAACTGTTCCAAATTGAGCTTAAGTCTGCAGAGGTTGTCTTATCTAAGAATTGAAGGCTTACACAAATTGCCAGAGGGGATAGCCCATCTCAAGAACTTGCAAGCACTGGCAATTTCTGGATGCATCCAAAATTATGACTTTTGCCCTCTCATGCATCTTCCTTCTCTTACAAAGCTTCATTTGTGTGACGAGCTGAAAAGTGCCACCCATCTTCCTCAACAACTTGAGCACTGCACTACTCTGCAATATCTAGTCATTGAAAAATTTGAGCATATGGAAGCTTTGCCAGAATGGTTGGGAAACCAGCTTACATCGTTGAAAGTATTATGTCTTGACTCTTGCAAGAATCTGAAACAGTTACCTTCCACAGAAGCAATGCTACGCCCCACCAAATTAAGTGCTTTCTATGTTGATGCATGTCCGCGGCTACAACTCGGTGAAGGTGACACGGAGCGGGCCAAACTTTCCCATCYAATTCCAGAAATTCGTGTTTACCTCCATCATATTTGGTTTTTTTGGTTCTTTTTAGGACCACCCTTGAGATAACTGTATGCAAATCTTCACTCTAATTATTTTAATTTTCCATTTGTAAAACAATTCAAGATTTAAGGAAAAGAAACCAAGATTGGTGTTGGCCAGATTATTATTCATTATATTTTATACCAACCCAACTTTTAGTTTTATAAGCAAATCCTCCTAATTGTTTTCTCAACAAAGTTTTTATGGCAGAGAATCATAATGAAACAAAAGCTACCTATAATTTAGAAAAGAACAATTATTTGTTAAATAAAAATGGAAAACATATAATTTAAACAATGGATTTGTTATTAAAAAGTGATACTAAAAACATCTTTATAATAAATATGAATAAAAAATATAATTAGAAATTGAAATATACTAACCATCAAGCTGTTGGAAATATATATTAAGTAGAGCAAATATAATGTGTTTAATATAATACACTACTCACAGCAAATATAATTCCAAAAATGCTTGAAAATTGCTTTAATTTAATACATCATAATTATCGCTACGCGTTATCATAAATGATAATATTATCTATCTTATCGAATAACTCTTTCTCATAATTCATCCTAATTTGTCTCCCACGTCTAATTGCGCAATTGAGTCTTACAATACTCATATCACAAAATATTTTCTCCATAGTAGTTGTTGTAATTGGTAAGATTAATGTCAATGTAAGCCACCGATAAATTAATGGATTAAAGTTATTTTTAGCTGTAATCACCATCTTTAATGCAAGATCACTAATGTATTAGTGTTAAGGATCCCACGTTTGAAAAATRAGGACTTTAGAACAGTTTATAATAGATATAAGTTACTCATTTCATTGCCAAGTGGTGGCGCAATTTAAAATTAGGTTTAAAATTTTCCATCAACTTTTCGTTTTTGAAAAAATTATATATTTGTATAGAAATTTTTGTAATTTGTCGCTGAGTCGAGCTTAATTTATATTTAATAAGTTGCTAAATTTTTTATTTTATGTTTAATAGGCTTAGTGGAGAGTTTGGTAAAGTTTCATGGCTACCTTTGAAATTTCTCTTTTCCCATTAGTCTACAACATGTTCTTCTCTCTTTTGACCCACCCACTGCAAAACTACACCATCTTTATTTTCTCTTTTTTCCCTCAAGCATCTGAACAAAAACATTACAAAATCTAGAATAAAAGGTGGATAAATGCGTTATTTGTTAAACAATTAGGATCATTATATATCTACTTTTTAAAGTAGGTATAATGCATTCTTTTCTTTAATACTATTCCACGTTCTTCAAGGAAAAGCAAAAAAGTTAGTWACCTAATTCATTATATCTGCCCTAAATTMTTTTCAACGATCATAAAATATTGTTGTTCCTTCTTTTATTTTTCTAAAATAAATTGGAGGCATGRAAGTTCGATCCTCCAAATTCGAGAGAAAAAATAGATATCAATTATTATTGAACTATATTCATATTAACATTATTGTCACGTGTGAAGCTATATTAGCATGTCTGAATTATATTTATAAAACTCTCTTTTTTAATCCTCTTTGACACCTATATTTATTTGTAGATACCTACTTAGGGAATGATTGTACCAACCCAAAAAAAATTACTARAAAAAGTATTCAATAGTCATCAAGTTGGAATGAGAAATATTAATATTAATTAATTATGCCATGGGTAGAAACGTAATTGCGAGAAAAGTGGAAAGTGGTATGGCAATTTAAATTTATGACTGAACTACCCTCTAAAACTTTAATTCCAAACTTAGTTTCTCACTTCTCTCTCTTAACCACAAAAATATCTTCAAAATTCATAAAAACAAAATTAATGTGAGAATTTGTCTAATTAAATTTGAAAAAATATGGAAAAATATATTTTTTTTTTGAAAAATTTATGGATAAAAATTGGACGATGTAGAATATGAAGAAGCAAATTATCTTTATACAATGGAAGAAGAAAACTTTTAAAATAAAATTAAGTTTGAAAATGGAATTGAAAGGATAGAATAAACTTTCATGCTGATCACCACGTCATTGCGAAATATGTCCTGCCAAATTTTATTAAAAATATTAATAGATATTTGTTCAATGGGTAGTTTTGATAGGTTKGTGAAAAGTGAAAATAATATTGCAACTTTTGAAAAGATGAGTATTTTAAAAGAAAAACAAATTTCAGCGGTATCTTTTCCTAATTTAACATAAGGGAACTCCTATCCAAAAAGGGGTCTGGGGTAGGTTTTGCGCTTACAGGCAACMTGTTCGTCAACAACAATAGGAGTGGCGAATACACGGGAGGTTATAGTTATTTTGGAGGAGATGCAAAAATTGCGGTTTTTAGTATCTACCAAATTTGATTAGAGATTGATTCGACTGAAGTGGCAAATTAAAGCTATTTGCAAAGGAAAGAAGACGATCTTACTGAAATAACGCAAGTAGTTAACGAAATATTGAATCTTAAGGATTCGTGCGGCGTCATCTAATTCAATAAGGTGGATAAAGATGGTAACTTTTGTGCCACTATCTATAGCTCACATATAGAGCCTTTGAATTTGAGGAAAGTGAATGTTGGTTGTCGTATATCCTAGTCTTTATGGCTAATCAAGACTTTTATATTTTTTTAATGAAGTATTTTCTTTCTTAAAAAATAAATTTTCACTAATTTTTATGTATTAAATAATATATACTAATTAATTAATTAAATTACCTACTTAATTGTTTAAAAGAGTCCTAACATTGATCAGAAGATCCTTTCAATTGGCTAGAATCCGTTACTTGAACGAAACTAGATCTTGTGGAATCATATTGAATATTTGACAAGACATTCCGTACCTTGCTAAAAAACCGATCCTTGTTTACCAACCACACATTGTCTAACCAAATCCAATTCTCTCTCGATATGTTCCTCAAAAAATATATTGCAGTTTTTTAATCACCACATTTATAAATCATTTTTTAAATAAATAACGCATATAAATGGTTTGATTGAAAAAAAACCAAGGGTTTTCAATTATTGATGATTACAATTATTTATTTACTAACATATGACAATTATTGATCGATGCTTTATTGGAAAACTGAAGAACTTATTCAAATTTAGAGATAGAAGTGATTAAAAGAAAAGTATTGTCAGCTTAGTTCACTCATATGATATTGTTTAGGTCACTGATTCAATATGATATTACAACTGTAAATTTCGATAGTTTGAAAATAGATATTTTTTTTCTATTTTACCTTCGTAAGGATTTCTTTTCAAATTTACTCTAATTCATTTTTAAAATAGATCACATATTCATGCTTTTAAATAAGTTCTTCGTTTTACCCCTTCATTTGTTCAGAATAAAAATTAAATCAAAGATGTTATGTTTTTTATATTATTTTTTAATTAAAGATATCATGAATTAAGAAAAAAAATAAACTTATTTATTAGGCTTATTAATCTGTTAGTAGATATGTTGTTGTATATACTGTGTAACCTTCTCTTGTATTTGTGGTCTATATAAGACCTTATTACATCAATAATAGATTAATGCACAGTTTAAGTTACTCACCTTCTTTTCAAGTACAACATGAGTTGGGTAACTCACAATCTCTTGATCTTAGTCGGTGATATATGCTAATTACCACTAACTTATATGGGCAAAACTTATTTACTTATTTGAAGTTTACCAAATTAATTTTGGTCGATATTAACTATATATCTATTGATATTAATTATTTAAAACTTACCTTTATTGTTTACTTTTTTATTCATAATATTTTAATTTTATTTTTTCCTTAAAGGAGACAATTTTTGGTTTTGGTGCTTTTCACGCGGCTTCCACCGTGCCAACTACCAAGTCCACGTTTACTTTCAAAGACAACTTTGATTTATAAACCCTATGTATTTTGGATCTTCTTCCCCAAATCCACTGCAATTTTCAGGAAAACTATAATCAGAGCTATGGCTGAGTTGCTATTGACTTTTGCTGTAGAGGGAGTGTTAAGCAAAGTGGTGACAGTTGCAACTGAGCAAATTGGGCTCGCATGGGGCCTGGAGAAGGAGCTAGAGGAGCTCAAGAAATGGCTACTCAACATTGAAGCCTTCTTATGTGATATCAACAAAAGCAAATTTCATCATAATTCAGTGGAGCTGTGGGTGGACAAACTTCAAGATCTTGTTCATGAAGCTGAGAATCCATTGGACGAGCTTGTTTATGAGCATCTTCGGCGAAAGGTGCAAACAGGAAAAAGGAACAAGGTACGTGATTTTGCATCCTCTTCTAATAATCCTTTGGTCTTTCCTGTCAAGATGGCAAATAGAATAAAGAACATTACGAACCAGTTGCAAGAGCATTATGGTAGGGCAGGTCATTTGGGAATTGTWGGCAGTGGATCCACAGGAACAGAGACTGTTATTAGCCAAATTCGAGAGACAGTCTCGGAGTTGGATGACTTTGGAGTCGTGGGGAGGGATGTTGAAGTCTCTAGCATAGTGAAGCAGGTGGTGGATGCTACAAATAGTCATGTTACATCTATCTTACCCATTGTGGGTGTGGGTGGGCTGGGAAAAACAACGTTGGCAAAGTTGGTCTTCAATCACCCAAGGATCAAACAACATTTTGATAAAACTATATGGGTGTGTGTCCGAACCTTTTGATATCAACAAGATTTTGGAAGCAATCTTACAAAACTTAAAAGGTCCTTCAGGCGCCTGCGATAACAGGGAGGTATTGCTTCATGAACTTAAAAAGGAAATGSGTGACAAAAGATATTTTCTTGTGCTTGATGACGTTTGGAATGAAAATTCTTCTTTGTGGGATGAGTTGAAGAATTGTTTAATGAGGATGACCGAAAAATCAGAAAATAGTATTGTTGTTACTACACGCAACGTTGAAGTTGCCAAAATCATAGAAACACTTCCTAGTCATCATTTGAGTAAGCTCTCTATCGATCAGTTTTGGTCCTTATTTCAGGAAAGTGCAAATGCAAATGGACTACCAATGACTTTAAGTTTGGAAATTGTTCGAGAAAGGTTGATTAAAAAAATTGGTGGCACACTATTAG